GCTAATTTTTTGTATTTTTAGTAGAGATAGGGTTTCACCGTGTTAGCCAGGATGGTCTCGATCTCCTGACCTCGTGATCTGCCCGCCTCAGCCTCCCAAAGTGCTGGGATTACAGGCATGAGCCATCATGCCTGGCCTATTTTATTTTTATTGGATCAAATCTTTCCTTCTGCTGTCTGATTCCCTTGTAACTTCTCTGCAAGTTTTATATAATAAATGATTTTTGTCTCTGAGTTCTGTTTTGTAGTTGGAGTTTCCATTGATTATCTTGGGGGCAGATCTTGTTTTCAAAACTGACTGAACTGCTGCCTGAGAAATGTCCCTGAGGGCTGTTTACACTCACACATGCCCTCTTTTCAACTCCTGGGGTGGAATAAAAAAAATCCTTCCTCTTGCTGGGCCCTAACCTGCTGTGATTAATGGCCACGGTACCTGGCGAAGTTGACATCTGCCAGTCCTAGACTGTAATTGAAGGGTAACAAGAACTTGTGGGGTGGGTGTGGTGGCTTGTGCCTGTAATCCCAGCTCTTTGGGAGGCCAGGGTGGGAGGATCGCTTGAGACCATTTCGAAACCAGGCTAGTCAACATAGTGAGACCCTGTCTCTACAAAAGAAATATAAAAAAATTAGCCAGGCATGGTTGTGTGTGCCTGTAGTCCCAGTTACATAGGAGGCTAAGGTGGGAGGACCGCTTGAGCCAGGGAGGTCTTGATCCAGGGAGGTGGAGGCTACAGTGAGTGGTGATCGCACCACCGCACTCCAGCCTGGACAACAAAGCAAGACCCTGTCTCAATAAATGAATAAATAAAAATAAAATAAAATAAAAAGAACGAGTTTACTGAAATACTGTGGAGTACCTAATTTTCTCCTTCCTTCTCTGTTTCTTTCTCCTCTTCCTCCTCCTCTCTTCCTTTTCCACCTTCTTCACTGACGGTTTCACTTTACATTTCAAAAGACTAGCATTCTCTCCCTCTCTACCTGCTTCCATTTCCCCTGGGTGCAGTTTCCTGAGATGAAAATCAGGCCCTGTCTTTCCTCCCCACCCTGCTCCCTCTCCTTGCCCCCACCATCCTGGCAGCCTCCTCACCTGCTGGTACCAGTGTTTCACCAGGCGCAGGAGGCTCTTCAGCTTAGTTGGCCGATGTTTCACAAAATTTCTCTGCAGCTCGCTGAAGGATGGGGAGAAATTTCCAGGACCACCACAGGCCTTGATCAGGCTCACATAGATCTCAGGCGGTGGCTGGGAGTTGGGAAGAGAAGGCCCTGGGGAGTGAGGGAGCAAAGGGAGAGATTGGGGATTGAGGAAGCCGGAGGGTGGTAAGTAGTATTTTGGGGAGAGCCTGCTTATACATTGGCATTATCCCTCCAGGGACACTTGAGACCTCATATCTACAGAAACCAAAGGTTTGCCTTGTCTAACTGTCCTTTTTGTGAAATTCTTACTCTCGAGAACCAACATTGGGCTTTCCATGCATCAGGCCCCTCCTATTGTCCTCCCTGAATGTCCTCAATGTCCCTCATTTTCTTTAACATCTGTTTTGGATCTCTTTCAACACTCATAGGGAGGCCGGGCGCAGTGGCTCATGACTGTAATCCCAGCATTTTGGGAGGCTGAGGTGGGCAGATCACCTGAGGTTAGGAGTTTGAAATCAGCCTGGCCAAGACGGCGAAACCGCATCTCTACTAAAAATACAAAAATTAGCCGGGCATGGCATGGTGGTGGGCACCTGTAATCCCAGCTACTTGGGAGGCTGAGGCTGGAGAATTGCTTGAACCCTGGAGGCAGAGGCTGCAGTGAGCCGAGATCGCGCCACTGCACTCCAGCCTGGGCGACAGAGCGAGACTCCGTCTCAAAAAAAACCAAAAACTCATAGGGAGAACCAGTTCCATGGTACACATCACTGAGACATCCCAGCACTCTCTTCCTTGCTAAAATCAGATCCTGTCTCTTACACCTTCTCCCAAGAGCAACTCCGCGCAGCCGGCCACTGCAGCTGATAGGAGTTAGCACGTGAGATGAAACCTCTAGGGTCTGGGCTTGCAGCACGTAGGTTTTACCTCAAACACCTAGGACTCTGCCCGAGGACAAACAACAGGGCCAGTGAGTTAGTGCTCCCGAAGCAGCCCCCAACCAGTGACGGCTGGGAAGCTGGTGAGTAAGCACTCCAGCCTCCCACTTGGGATCCCGTGGAGGCACATTCCGTAACGTGACTGCGAGTTCGCCCAGGACGTGAAGCTGAGGGTGGTGACTTGCCCACGGATGCATGTTGTATTGAATTCTTGCCTTTCCCATCTCAATTCCATACTTCCCTACCAGTGCTTCCTGGGATGAACACCCAAATAAACTGCTTGTCCTCACATCCATGTCTTAGGATCTACTTCTAGAAAACGCAGTGACAGACCCCCACCCCCACTTTTAGCTCCTTCCCCTCACTGGGTGTCAGAGCCCCCTGAATGTTCTTTCCCCAGAAAGTCACTTCCTGAGCACTCTTTCTGTGGTTATCCAGGCCACCGTTTACATCATTTGCAATCATCTTTTTTTTTTTTTTTTTTGTGACAGAGTCTTGCTCTGTCGACCAGGCTGGAGTGCAGTGGCTCAATCTTGGCTCACTGCAACCTCCACCTCCAGGGTTCAAGTGATTCTCTGCCTCAGCCTCCTGAGTAGCTGGGATTACAGGCAACCACCACCACACCCAGCTAATTTTTTTTTATTTTTAGTACAGATGGGGTTTCACCATCTTGGCGAGGCTGGTCTTGAACTCCTGACCTTGTGATCCACCTGCCTTGGCCTCCCAAGGTGCTGGGATTACAAGCGTGAGCCACCACGCCCAGCCTGCAATCATGTATTTATCTCTGCAATTCTTTGGTCAATTTCTGTATTTCAAGTTAAGCGACATGATAGCCAGAGTTGGGTTAATCCTGTGCACTGCAATAACCCAGCCCTGAGCATAGGACACAGATGGAATGAATAAATGTGGGTGTGTGCACATGGCCATGAGTAAAGGTGAGACACTGGGAAGTCTCCTGGGATGGGCAAGTGTGTGAGTCGGGTGGGCTTCCCCTCCCCTTACAGCCTTACCCAGGGCTCTGTAGGCAGGCACGATGGTGACCGTGATGGGCTCCGCAGTCCCTCTGGTCTGGATGGTGAGGACGAGAGCATTGGGGACTCTCTGCTCCACCCTCAGGTCCTCAAGCCCAAGGGCCAGCAAGTCCTGGCTTTGCCACATGGTTTTCTGTATCAGCCTCAGAACTTCTTGGTGGTGCTTAGCTGCCTCCTGGAAGCTGTGGAAACAGCTCAGAAACGCCACCAGCTCCACCTCTCTGGTGCTCCTGAGAACCGTGCCATTCCCGAAGGAGCCCACCTGCAGAACAGAGCCGTCACCCTGAGGCCCACTGCCATGTGCCAGGCAACCCCTGCAGCACTTCACATGCACGGTCTCACTGAATGCTCACCACCCGCTAAGGGATGGGTAGTGGGTGGTACTGATACCCACACTTTACAGGTGAGAAAACTGAGATGTCTGGAGGATCTCGAGACATGGGATCGAGAAATGGGGCAGCCTGAAAAAGATCTTCTCTTCCCTGTTTCTTAGCTGGGTAAATGTTCTGACTCCTAAGACCTTCATCTGTAAAATGAAAGCAATGGTGGAACATGAGTCACTGGGCCACTGGGAAGATCAGATGAAATAATGTATACCAAGGGTTTGGTGGGGTGCCTGGCACACAGGAAGTCAGCAATAGGTTTCTCTTTCTCCTCATTAGTCATTTGTCCTGGGTCTTGCAGTTTGCAGCCCTCAGAGCCCAGCCTTGTTTTTTTTTTTTTTGAGACAGGGTTTTACTCCCATTGCCCAGGTTGGACTGCAGTGGTGCGATCTTGGCTCAAGCGATCCTCCTACCTCAGTCTCCCAAGTAGCTAAGACTACAGGCATGTGCCACCATGCCTGGCTAATTTTTGTGTTTTTTTGTAGAGATAGGATTTTGCCATATTGCCCAGGATGGTCTCGAACTCCTGGACTCAAGCGATTTGCCCCCTTGGATGCCCCAAATGCCCAGCTTCTTATCTACTACACTGCATTGCTTCTGAGACCCAGTCTTCTTATCCACAGAGTAAGGCCAACTCCAGAGGAATGGTAGCATCTACTCCTATGGGATTGTTTGAGGATTCTGGGGGTGGTGGTGGGGCTGAATAATTTCATGACATTATAAAGCAAGGAGCAAGTTTGCCTGGTGGATTTAAGAGCCACAGGCTGTGAAATGGGGCAGCCTGAAAAAGATCTTTACTCTTCTCTGTTTCCTAGCTGGATAAACATTCTGACTTCTAAGACCTTCATCTGTAAAATGAAAGTAGTGGTGGAACAAGAGTCACTGGGCTACTGGGAGGATCAGATGAAATAATGCATGTCAAGCGTTTGGTGGGGTGCCTGGCACACAGGAAGTCAGCAATACGTTTCTCTTTCTCCTCATTATCCAGCTGACTTAGACAATCCCTTCTGCTGCCGGGGTGTCAGTTTTCCCCCTTAGTAACGGAAGGAGGTTGAGAAGGGATTTTTTGATGTTTTGAGATTCTAGATGAGCTCTCCAGGCCCTGTTGCCTCTGGTATGCAAAGCCCCACAACTCTCTGGCCGCCTCTCCTGCTCATTCCGTGTCTGCAGGCGGAATTGCTACGGAGGCACCAGACCCCCAGTGGGCTACTTTTCCTGGTGGATGGAGTCACTGCACACGAATCAGATTCTAGCTGTTGCTGGATGACATGAGCACGCCCTGTGTCCGGCACCCCTGAGAGCCCTGTGTACATATTATCCCTTTTAATCTTTACTTCCCAGCCAGGCACCGTGGCTCACACCTGTAATCCCAGCACTTTGGGAGGCCAAATTGGGCAGATCATGAGGTCAGGAGTTCAAGACCAGCCTGGCCAACATGGTGAAACCCCGTCTCTACTAAAAATACAAAAATTAGCCAGGTGTGGTGGTGTGTGCCTATAATCCAACCTACTGGGGAGGCTGAGGCAGGAGAATCACTTGAACCCAGGAGGCAGAGGATGTGGTGAGCTGAGATCTCGCTACTGTACTCCAGCCTGGGTGACACAGTGAGACTCCATCTAAACCACTCCCCCCCAAAAAAAACCCTTCACTTCCTGTATTGAGGTGGGTACTAGGAGAATTATTTCCAATTGTACAGATGAGAAGACTGAGGCAATGGGGAGCTTGCCATGGTCTCCCAGCCAGGAGGCAACGGAGTTAGAGAAAGAGCCAGAACTCAAGTAGTGCGTGGTTCTTCTGCCTCTTTCTTCCTCGTGACCCAAGGCTGTGAGCCAGTCCCTGCTTCCAAGGGATCACAGGCATTCAGACCCAGCACCTCCACCCCCTGGGAGAGGGCTGGAGATGGCACCCTGTGTGTGAATGAAGGACACGTTCCCCCCAAAGGCCAGTCTAGACTTCCCTTTCTTTTTGAGACAAGGTCTTGGTCTGTTGCCCAGGCTGGAGTGCAATGGCACGATCTTCACTCACTGAAGCCTCGACCTCCTGGGCTTAAGCAATCCTCCCACCTCAGCCTCCCGAGTAGCTGGAACTACAGGCATGCACCACCACACCCAGCTAATTTTTTATACATTTTTTGCAGAGTCGGGGGTCTCACATTTTGCCCAGGCTGGTCTCGAATTCCTGGGCTCAAGCAGTCCTTCCACCTTGGCCTCCCAAAGTGCTGGGATTACAGGCGTGAGCCACTGTGCCTGGCCTAGACTTCCCACTGCCTTTCCCACTGGTAAGATCCAGGCAGAGAGAAAAGAACACATCCAGAACATGCTTCCTGATTTGCTTTGGTTTTAAACGTATTTAAGCACAATTCATTTGAAGACAAGCATTCCCTTATGTGGACCAGCTCCACTCACTAGATTTTCAGAGGGTGGGGAAAGGGAGGGTTTAGACTCGAAATAAGATATATTATTCCTCATTAGTCACGGCTCTCTGGGGATTGCTACCATTTAGTTATTTCAAGAGGAGAAGTGGCTATGATGTGCAGGAAGAATTTGAGGCTTGGGTAAATAGCATTTCCTGCCGTAAAAACTCATTCTTGGCTGGGTGCAGTGGTTCACACCTGTAATCCCAGCATTTGGGGAGGCTGAGTTGGGTGGATCACTTGAGGTCAGGAGTTCGAGACCAGCCTGGTCAACATGGTGAAACCCCATCTCTACTAAAAATACAAAGATTAGCCAGGGCGTGGTGGCGTGCACACACACAAAAATAAACTTATTCTTGTAGCATCCTCCTCTTACCAGACATTCCTTATTCCCTCCACTTTGTTCTCAAGGTTGTTGGGGAGGGGGTGGTCTGGGAGGGTCTGCCAGAGTCAAACATGAGTCCCAGGCCCAGAAGAAAGCTTGGCAAGAATTCTAATGATGCTTCTGTTTCTGAGCATTTATCATGCATGAATCATTGAGTCTGCATTGCCCCACTGGCTTGGTGAAGGAGAAATGATGATTCCCCAGTCACAGATGAGAAGATTGTGGGTTTGAGAAATAAGAGTGGGAAGGTCAAAGCCACACAGCTGGTAAGGGAGGAAGTGAAGAGTGTGTCTAGTATCAGAATTTGTGGTTTCTCACTTATAAATTGTATGGCCTCAGGCTTCATATGCTGCGGATAGGTGCAAAGAACGGATAGGGGCCCAGGGCTTCTAGATCCCTCTGTGAGTTGGTTGCCCCTAGAGAGAGAACTTGAGCACTGGGCTGGGAGTCAGGGGTCCTAATTCTAGTATTGCCTTTGCCACCAACTCGCTGTGTGACCTTGGGATATCTCTCCCCTCTCTGTGCCCCAGTTTACTTAATTATTTAAGTGGGTCATTGGTTAGACTGTCTGATTCTCCAAAGCCTTTCTAGCTCTGACCCTCTTGAATTTTGATCTTAACTAGCACAGGAGGTGGCATGAAACAGCTGGAGGAAGGGCTTGGGGAAAAATCTCAGTGAGGGGGCTTGGGTTCCTTGAGTCAAGTTCAAATCCTAGCTTCAACACTGTGTGACCTTGGACAAGTCATCTCACCTCTCTGAGCCTCCATTAAAAAATCATTTTAGTCCGGGCGCAGTGGCTCACTGTAATCCCAGCACTTTGGGAGGCCAAGGAGGGTGGATCACGAGGTCAGGTGATCAAGACCATCCTAGCCAATACGGTAAAACCCCATCTCTATGAAAACACAAAAAATTAGCCAGGTGTGGTGGTAGGCATGTGTCATCCCAGCTACTTGGGAGACTGAGGCAAGGAAATCGCCTGAATCCGGGAGGCGGAGGTTGCAGTGAGCTAAGATTGTGCCACTGCACTCCAGCCTGGCGATAGAGCAAAACTTAATCTCAAAAAAAAAAAAAAAGAAAAAAAAAAAAATCATTTTATTGGACGGCCAGACATGGTGGCTCACATCTGTAATTCCAGCACTTTGGGAGGCCAAGGTGGGCATATTCTTGATCCCAGGAGTTCGAGACCAGCATGGCCAACATGGTGAAACCCTGTCTCTACAAAAAATACAAAAATTAGCTGGGCATGGTGGTGCATGCCTGTAATCCCAAGCTACTTAGGAGGCTAAGGATCACCTGAGCCCAGGGAGATCGAAGCTACAGTGAGCGGTGATTGTGCCACTGCACTCCAGCCTGGGTCACAGAGCGAGACTCTGTCTCTAAAAAAAAAAAAGTCATTTTATTATAAAAAAGTTAAAACATATAGAAAAGTAGAAAGATGATACAACTAACACTCATATATCCAACTAGTTGATTCAACAAGTCTAAATTCCTGGCTACATTTGCTTAATGTAAGCCACGTTAAAGTAAATTACAGGCACCAAGGAACGTTGTCCCTAAAATACTCTGGTGTTCGTGTCCAAACAAAAGAGAACATTCTCCCTGATAACCACAAGACTACTGTTACACCTAACAAAATCAACAACGATTTCCTATATCACATATATATATATATATAGAGTATCTGATATCTAGGCCATATGGAAATTTCCCAGTTGTCCCCAAACTGTATTTTACAGATGGTTCATTCACACCAGGATCCAACCACGGACCTTGCGTTGTATTGGTTCTGAGCCTCCATTTTGCTAATCTGTAAACTGGGAAAAGAATAGCACCTATCTCACAGGGTGCAAGAATTAGAGATAGTGTATGTTAAGAGGTTAGATGTGAACTATTATTACTAGAGTCATTCTGCTCCAGGCAGTGGTGCAGTGGGGTGTAGACAGCGAGGTGGGATGGGGTGTTCTGCGATGTCATCAGCATGGGTTAGGGATAAGGAGGACAGGGGTCCCCAGCATCTTCAGGGATGTGGACTCTGATACTGGGTTTTGTCCTGTGTGGGGGCTGGAGGACCCCAGTCTTACCTTGATTACCTTCAGCACCTGCACATCCTGGTCCAGCCCACGCTTTCCCTGGAAATGCTCCTGCCTCAGAAACTCCTCCACGGTCCGCACAGCATCTAGAACCTCCTCCTTCCACTCCCGGTGGGGCTGCAGCCACTGAGCCACGAAGGAGTCCAGCCTGGAGGCTGGCGTGCTGTACAGTTCCTGCATCAGTGCCATCTCTGTCCCGAGAGTACCACTGCTGGGCAAATATATAGCCGGGCAGATATACAGCCAGGCACCTACCCAGCTCCCTGGCACACACCTCCTTTTTTAAGGCAGCTCCTCCTCAACTGCCCTCCGGTGCTCTATGGGATGAAGCTCCTAGCAGAGAGGAAACCAGGTGTGATGGGCTGACTCCAGGTCCCCCTTCTTGGAGACCCCCTTGCTGCAGTAGGGGCACAGGAGGACGCTGGGCTGAGGCTGGAATGCCTGGGGCCACCTTAACAGGTTGGCCGTCTAGTCAGTCTCTCTGCTGTCAGTTTCGATTCTCAATTTTTAGAGTTCCCTTTTATGATGTTTGGAAACTGAAATTGGATAGTGTTTGACCCCAGAGGTGGCAACTTGCCCAGTAGGTTGGAGTTGGATAGTGGTTAGCCAATTCAGCTGCTTAAATCTAAGGAAATTGAGGCTTGGGAATGGAAGGGACTCACTCACGTTCAGGTGATGGAGTGAGAATCTGGAGCCCAAGATAACAGACTGGGAATTCTAGCTACCCTGTGCCGGACTCCAGCCTCTCTGGCCCTCACATTCACTATTCATAGAGTGGGTTTTTTGTTGTTTTTTTTTTAATTAATTATTTATTTATTTTGACAGGGTCTTGCTCTGTTGCCCAGGCTGGAGTGCAGTGGTGTGATCTCAGCTCGCTGCAACCTCTGCCTCACGGGTTCAAGTGATTCTCCTGCCTCAGCCTCCCGAGTAGCTGGGACTACAGACATGTGCCACCACGCCCGGCTAATTTTTTTTTGTATTTTTAGTAGAGACAGGTTCTCACCATGTTGGTCAGGCTGGTCTCAAACTCCTGACCTCAAATGATCTGCTCACCTCGGCCTCCCACAGTGCTGGGATTACAGCGTGAGCCACCGTGCCCGGCCCATAGCGTGGGTTTAACAGGTATTACGATTCACGCACTGAACCAAGAAGTTCATGCATTGAGCCAGGAAGACAAAATAAGATGAGGTTCCTGTTCCAAGGGGGCTCCCAGAACGGCGGGGGAGACATAGAAAAAAGAGACTTCAAAAGTCCAGTGCGATGTATGTTAAGTAGGAAGAAAGCATGAAAATTTGGTGGGAAGCCAGCAGATGAGTTTCGTTTGGTGTTAGCAGACAGCTGCTCAAGAAGAATCTTAAAGACCAGGGATCCGGGCCGGGCATGATGCCTCATGCCTGTAGTCCCAGCACTTTGGGAGGCCAAGGCGAGAGGATCACTTGAGGCCAGGAGTTCAAGACCAGCCTGGGCAACATAGCTGGGCAACGTAGCCAACTCTGAATAACACTAAGTGCTCCAGGACTTAGTCCTGGGCCCTTCTCTCTTCTTGCTCCAGACTTACTCCCTTGGTGATTTCAACGTGTTTAAATGTTTTTACTCTGGCAACTCCCACATGTCAATTTTAATTTCATTTATTTGTTTATGTTTGAGACGGAGTCTCACTCTGTCACCCAGGCTGAAGTGCAGGGGCACGATCTCAGCTCACTGCAACCTCTGCCTCCCGGGTTCAGGCAATGCTGTGCCTCAGTCTCCTGAGGAGCTGGGATTACAGAAGCCCACCACTGCGCCTGGCTAATTTTTGTGTTTTTAGTAGAGACAGGGTTTCACCATGTTGCCCAGGCTGGTCTTGAACTCCTGACCTCAAGTGATCTGCCCTCATCGGCCCCCCAAAGTGCTGGGATTACAGGCGTGAGCCACCGCACCCAGTGACTTTCACATTTGTATCTTAAATCCATACCTCTTCCCTGAAATCCAGACTCACGTATCCAACTCCCCACTCCACGTCGGCTTTGAATTCTGGTCTGCCCTTTGCCACACTCATAACTTCTCTGCTGCTGTGGTTAGGATGATTGCAAAGGCAAGAGCAGATGTAGGGAGATGGTCAGGACACTGCACAGTGGTGCAGCTGAGAGGCAGTGGTGGCCTGGAGCAGTCGCTACAAAAATAATTTAAAAAAATAGCTAGGTGTGGTGTTGTGCACCTGTAGCCCCAGCTACTTGGGAGGCTGAGGTGGGACGACCACTTGAGTTTAGGAGTTCAGGCTACAGTGAATTATCATGGCACCACTAAACTCTAGCCTGGGTGACAGCATGAGACTCTGTCTCAAAATAAAAAATAAAAAAGACTGGCATTCCAGCCAGGAGGATGAGGGTATAGCATAAATAGAGGCTGAGAAGTGTAAATAATGCTAGGGTGTGCCAGGGACTCAAGTGTCCTGTGTGCCTTGGCATGAAAGGGTGAGCAGGGGAGTGGTGAGAAATGTACCTGGACAGGTGGGCAGCATTGAATCTTGGAGTGCCATTCACTCATTCATTCATTCATTCAACAGATACTTATTGGGCACCTACTCTGTGCCAGGCAGGTGCTGTGGATACAATAGTGAACAAACAGTAGTGAAAAATCCCTACCTGCAGATGGCTTGCTTTCTGGTAGTGGAGACAGACAATGAATAGGATAAATAGGTAAAATTATAGTAAAGAAGATGGTGATAAGTGCTAAGCAGAAAAACAAAGGGATTAAGAGGTTGTGTGTGTGGGGGGTGGGTGTATTTAGGTGTTCAGTCTTACATAAGGTGATTAGGGAAGGCCTCCCTGAAAAGGACACATCTGAGCAAAGACATTAGAAGGTGAAGAGTGAGCCACGTGTGTAACAGAAGGGAGAGGACTCTTCATGGCGGAAGGAGTGGAAAGTGCGAGGACGCTGTGGTGATACTGCCCGGTGGCAAGGATAAGGAACATCAGTGTGCCTGGAATGGAGTGATCAAGAGCAGAGAGTGGAAGGGAATGCGGTTTAAGTAGTAAAGAATGGCAAGGCAAATAGATGCAGGATTTTGTTTTTGTTTTTTGAGATGGAGTTTCGCTCTTGTTGCCCAGGCTGGAGTGCAGTGGCACAATCTTGGCTCACTGCAACCTCCGCCTCCCGGGTTCAAGCGATTCTCCTGCCTCAGCCTCCTGAGCAGCTGGGATTAAAGGTGCCTCCCGCCGTCACACCCGGCTGATTTTTGTATTTTTAGTAGAGACAGTATTTCACCATGTTGGCCAGGCTGATCTCTAACTCCTGACCACAAGTGATCCACCCGCCTCGGCCTCCCAAAGTGCTGGGATTACAGGCGTGCGCCACCACACCCAGCCAGGATATAGGATCTTTTTCAACAGATTTACTCCATAAACAAGGAGGAGGAGTGGATAGGATCTTGAAGACAACTGGGGAGCATTTTTTGTTGTTCTGTAAGAGTCTGATACCATACACTGGAGAGTTTTCAGTGGAGGAGTGACACGGTCTTTCATTTTAATGAGATTAATCACATTGGCTGCTGGGAGGAAATTAGATTAGAAGCAGAGGGTGGAGTGGAGGTGAAAGTGGAGGCAGGAGTATGGTTAGGAGGCTACTGCACCAGTCCAGGCAAGAGATCAGCTGACTTGGATCAGAGCAGTAGCAGTGAAATAGTATGATTTAATTTTTCTGATTTTGGAAAATTTCAAACAAAGTAGAATAATATAATGAACCTCCACGTACCATTACCAGTTTCAACAATGATCAACTTATAGCCAATCTGGTTTCAATTATACCCCCATCCCTAGATTTCCCACTGTGTTATTTGGAAGTGAATCTGGACATCATGTCATTCTGCTGGATATATTTTGACTCTAAGGCTGACAGGTCTTGCTAATGGGTAGAGTATGATGAGAGAGAAAGATCAGAGTCAAGGTCTAAGTCCAGGGCTTTTGGCCTTAGCAACAGAAAGGTTGAACTGCCCTTAACTGAGGTGGGATAGGCTGGGCACGGAGATCAGGAAGGAACTCAGTTTGGGAACTGAAGTTGGGGGTGTCTGTCAGAGACCCGGGTGGAGATGTGTGGTGGGAGTTGGATATGCCAGTCTGGATTTCAGGGAGGAGGTCTGGACTTGAGATACAAATGTGGGGGTCACTGGCATAGAGATGTTTAAAGCCATGACACTGAATGAGATCACCAAGGGAGTGGTAACAGCAGGAAGAGAAAAAGACCCAGGACTGAGAACCAGAGCACCTAATATTATTCAGAGTTTGGGAGTTGCATGAGTCCAGCAAAGAAGGAGGAAAAGAAGTAGCTAGTGAGGTGGAAGAGAAATCAGGAGTGATGGTTTGAAGGCCAAGTGAAGATATTGTTTTAAGAAAGAGGAAATGAGATGGGCTTGGTGGCTCACACCTGAAATCCCAGCACTTTGAAAATCAAGGTGGGAAGATTGCTTGAGCCCAGTAATTCAATATCAGCCTGGGCAATATGGCAAAACCCCATCTCTACAAAAAATACAAAAATTAGCCAGGTAGGATGGTGAGCGCCCATAGTCCCAGCTACTCAGGAGGATGAGGTAGGAGGATCGCCTCAGTCCAGGGAGATCCAGGCCGCAGTGAGCCATGATCATGCCACTGCATTTCAGCCTGGGTGACCAAGTGAGACCAGGTGAATCTGCTTTTTGTCCTGAGGGCAGTGGCAAATTTAGGGGAGTGGCACGTAGTGGAGTTAAGATCTAGAAAGATTGGTCTGGCTGCTTCCATGGTGAGGATGGATGGCAGAGGGCAAGGGCAGATGCAGGGAAATGCATGAGGATGCTTCGCAGGGATGCAGGTGATAAGCAGTGAGGCCCAAGACGAGGCTGAAGCAGTGCAGGTGGAGAGGAGGGGTTGAATTCTAGGTCTATTTTGGAAGAAGCGTGGGCAGGGCTTCTTGTTGACTATAGATGAGGGGCAGGGAGAAGACAGGGATGACTCCCAGCTCTCTGGCTTGCATCCGTGAGTAACTGCTGGGGCCACCATTCACAAGGAGAGAAGGAGGAGTGGGCATGGTTGTGGGGAGTTCTAGGAGTGCTTTTTGGACGATGATTTGGTAGTACCCAAAGATGAGAAGTGAGTGACCTGCTCCATGTGAAGACAGATTTGATTTCCCTCAGTATACACATGGTCATTGGTACCTCGGGGAGGAATGAATCACACCATCACACCAAAATGAACTAATGTAGAGACAGAGTCTCGTTCTGTCTCCCAGGCTGAAGTGCAGTGATGCAGTCATAGCTCACTGCAGCCTCAAACTCCTGGGCTCAAGCGATCCTCCCACCTCAGCATCCCGAAGTGCTGGGATTGCAGGCATGAACTGCTATGCCTAGCCAAGCCCCAGATTGAAATGATGAGCAGAGGAAGGGAAATTTAGGCAGTTCCTGCTGGGGTGGCCAAAGAGGTAGGCACAAAACCAGAGTTAAAAAAAGTCACCCACATTGCTGAATGC